ATAATTATTCTGGAATAACGGCATGAGCGAATGATCTGAAAGTTTGCATACAAGGTTTTTGTCAATACGTATAAATCTAGAAAACAATATCAAGTCATATCGTGTCAAAAAAATAAAAATCTATACATATTGACAATAGCCGTACGGTAGACCAAATGTTTGTATAAAATACACACGGCGTGTGTCTTAATTACAATGTAAATAATGATAAACATGACATCAGGTGAGGCACCACTAAAATATGACTGATAGTAAATCATGATTAGTAACAAACACATGCAGTTTGGTGGTTTACTTACTTACTATGTATTTCAAAGGTATCGGGTACCTATCATTCATTTTTACATATATATTTATAAGACAAAATATTTATAGACAGTTCTATGATGAGATATAGAATAGAAGAGTGAACAAGTTTTATTATTTCTTACCTTATAAAGTATAACCAATGCACTTGCATTTTGCATCATGTAACGTGCCAATAGAGATCACTTATCAATTTGGCCTCCTTTTCATTTTCAGAGTCCCAAAGTCCATATTCAATCTATTTTACACCAAGTATAACCTCGTTTTCATTTCCGAGTCCAAAAGTTTATATCAAACCTATATTTTTATTTTTTATTTTTGAGAGGGTCCAAAATCCATATCAAATCCTTATTATAATTAAAGTAACAAAGTCCTGTCAAAATGCTTAAGAAATGATGGTGTGAAATAAAGAGGTCATTAAACATGGTTGGGAACAATGCTGGTTGAATTGGACGGGTACACAGCCAGACTCGGCTAGCACCTCGTCCAATATAGTTTTGACAGCTGTGTACCCGTCCATATAATAACCTCATATTTTATTCAAGTTTGTCAAAAATGCTGAAACACATGTTCGGTGCAGAATGTACACCATACAAACTATGATAATAAAAGTACAGCATGATCCATATTATTTTCAATGTTTTGATTTATTTCTTTAATTTCTAAATAGATAATCAAAATAAACAAACAAATATAAATGAATCACTGCTGGAATAAAGTTAAGGAAGGTTTATATACAGTATTTTTGTTTTTATTTAAGCTAACTAACAGGAACACTTGTGTTCCATATTGCAGTATCAAGATTAGCTGGCAGGAAAATGTTTTTTACTTTGTACCTTTTCTTATTCTAATAACAAAGGCGGTAAAAAACAGCAATGCTTTCCAAGAAACAAACAAATCTTTGGTAAACAAATCATATGCGTATTAACATATTCGAAAGAAAAAACGACAACAGAAAGAATTAAGTTCACATGAACTCTAAAAAAGTATTTGAATCTTTAACGAAAATAGATTTTTCTAGCCTTGGGGATTAATTGAACGTTAATGACAATATAATTACGTTTCATGAAAATATAAATTTACACGCAAGAACGTAATATCCATTACAAGTAGACAAAAAAATCTCGAATGAAAGGCAACAATGATAATTGTGTTTTGATTGTCATATATCTGACAGTAATATAATTATACATGTACTGACTATGTAAACTGTGAGTCGATTATTAATTCATCTTTAATCTAATTGACAAAAAATATGAAACACAAAAAAATAAAATATTTTCATATATCTAAAGAATTTGTACAAGTGCCTTATTGATAAAAGAAACGCGGTTCTCGTGGGAAACACAGATTATTTTTTAACAAATATAATCTTGTAAAAATATTCTAAATTGTTGTGAAGAATACAGACAAGTTAAAGCGTATTTATGTTTAATATGTAAAATTGTAAATTATGACAAAATTAACTCACATGCAAATGTACCTATGTCAGTTAAAATAAACTATAGAATTGTACAAACAGAATTTTATTGTTTGACATATGTCTGTTCATTTTTATGAAGGAATGACGCTGCAAAAATAAGCGCAAAATGAATACAATGAGTGCCATTTCTTAACCTTTAGCATGCTTGCGCAACTGAATATAACCATATATACGACCAGTGCATACCATGATCAGCTGGCGCATCATTTTTACAAACTCGGCAAGAACACCTTTTTCGTTGTTTATTATTTGTTTTTTTTAAGGTTATAAAGTGCACGAATTCCATATGTTCCCTTCTCAATGACATATATACCGTGCCCGGCTGTCATATCACGGTAAACCGCAAATCGAAGCCCGGGATAAATAATGCGGTTTTTTTTTTCTAGGTGCGCCGTTCGTGTTTTTATCTCCAGTAAAAACATGTGCTACACGACTCAGGGGAGGAGGCCCGATGAGGGGTTCTGTTAAGATTTTTTTCATCAGAGAAAAGAGAGGACAATTTACTTGTAGATGGAATGTATTAAAACTTTAGCTGATATATGGTTTCTGGGAATACTAGTATAATGTGCATGCTTGAAATAAAACTTTCTGACTTTTTAAAAATTAATTAATGATGTGTTGTTGTTGTTAATTTTTTTGTCATAAAAATGGACATCAAAGCAAATAAATGTGTAAATAAAACACTTTGTCAAAAAGCCAGTTCTACCATTTTAAATCAAACATTTTTTCATTTTAAATATAAATTGATACATTTTTTGTTATGTATCTGAAAGACTTTGAGAGTATTTGTAAATATCATTCAACATGTTTTTGAACAATATAATCATGTTTAAATAAACAACAAAAACAAAAGTAAGAGAAAAATAATAGCCACCAATCAAGTTATATGGTATATTATAATAGTCCGAAAAATGAACTGGACATTACCGCGAAATACTCGGAATTGACAAAGTTATATATAAATGATCATAAAACCTCCACCCTTTGACTTGTAGCTAAATGTTTAGTCACAACATTGACTCATAACTTTCTCCGGCTACTCTTTTCTTGAAATACAAAAACAACAAACAAACAAAGAACAACATAAAAACCCATTACCTTCTGTATACAAAGAATAAACAATAGAAAATTTATGATGCCGTTAAAGCATACATTATAAATGTGTGTATTTAAAATGAATCAGACTAGGAGATAGCCCGAGGTTAACAATGAGTGTTTTAATGTTTAAACCAACACATGTTACGACTAGCTTTTCAAACAGAAAAATTCTAACCACATCAAAAACGACCCCGCATTAAAATTTATCACATCACATCCGGTACATAATATGGAGAAAATAGGGCGGTTGTCTACGCAACAAAATCTTCATAATACACAAATATGACTAAAGCAGCTGAACAATGGATTCATATATAAACACTCGGTGACAAATATTGAAATAAAAAGTGTTTATTGATCTAAGTGAAAATCGGTGCAAAATCGAACAAAGGCCGTTGTTTCAAAAACTTGCGGCTTTTGCGGTTACGTTTGTTAAAATGTCTGTCCGAACTCTCATAGTACCTTGTTGTAACAAACAATGATACATACAGTCACCTTACAAACATAACAAGAAATTTTATTGTAAATAATGTATAAAATTAACATTAAATAATTAATCAAAATAAACTTTTTATGTTCTATTCAGTAAAAAACGTACTTTGTCGAACTTAAAACCACACTAATATGTTATCCCGCAGAAAAGTAGATAAAAAGGTATTTATCATTTGAATAATAAACAATAAAGCGCAGAAAGTGGTTTGTAGATATGAAATTTACATTCTTTCACTAAAATTCGCACTTCATTCACATCTATACAACACCATGGGGTACTTCACGCACTCTAAATAAAAATATATAATAAAATGTTAATAATTCTAACAATTTATACTCGTTCCTTTATATATATGATAATAACTCAAAGGATCTTTTTACTCAGTTTCTTTTCCAAGAGGATCTTTATCTAAGTAATCAGTTTTGTTACCGTACAAAAAATCAGGTAAAATGTGTGTGCAAGGTTACGTTAAGTTTAAGATTGACCACAAAAATCCGCACCTCAAACCTTAGACCAATCCTAAGCTGGTACACAATGTGTACATGGAGCTAATTTTCAGCTGAGTAATCAAGTTTAAAGCTCAATAAAAACAAGTTAAAAATATTAAACCCTTTCGACATATGGACGTAATCTTCTTATTTTCTTTACAGTAATTTGTAACTCATTTTTGAGTAAAGTCAATTTTTGCAGAGTAAGTGTTTATTACTTTAAAGTTGTCTTTAAATGCGATTTTAGATAAGCTGCTTTTACATTCCATTGCTAATATTAATAATAAAAAAGCTTGTTCATTTGCTTTAAAAGCATTTTAGAATATTAAGGTCAATTAGATTGGTCAAAAGTTAATACGAATATCGAAAACCCGGGTGAATTCATTATACATTATGTGATATATTTTGTAATATATTTTGATATTACTAACTACTTCTTCCTCTGTCTTGAATTTGCTGTTAACTTTGACCTTGATATAAAGCATTAAATCTTGAAAAAAAGTCTTGGTAAGAAAACAAACTATTTGTTAATCAGATATTTTATATATACATTGTATTATAAATGTCAGAATGCAAATTTCAGGCTGTCAGGCTGCAAACTCCACGGACAATATCACACAAAGGAAATGAAGGGAGAAAGAGGATATTTAACATGATATTAAATATTTTAATGAGATCATCAAATCAAGGAGGTTATTTTAAAACAAAATACAATATACAAATAGTTTTATCATGAATGAAATAAGTATTTATCTACTGAGTGTTGATAAAAAGTTATTATGAACATATTAAATAATGAATGCATTCTTTCTTTCTGTGAAAATTACTTTTACAAATGTGCGTAAATAAAGCATAATTGTACCTAAGTGTACTCCGCCCTTATTTGTTATAATAAAGATTGGGGTGGAGAACTTATAAATTGAAGTTTTTAGGTGTTTTCAATTCTATTCTAAACAGAGCGTGTAAATATTTGACATTATCAATGATATAGCATAAATAAACTTGTACAAGTATTGAGGTGTTTATTAAAAAGAAATGAATAAAACGCCTATTATGTTAATAAGTTCTAGTGAACCGAGAATCATAAATAATCACATGAATAAAATGCAAAACCTTCAAATGATATTGTTAGTTACAGTAATGATAACGACGATGACGACAACGACAACGCTGATGGTGACGGTGGAGCTTCTGCTAATGATGATAGTGAATTTAATGACAATGACAAAATGTTTATTGATACAAGGCCTTTAGCCCAAAACAACACATACATATCAACACATTTACAAACAGTGATATATGACACAAGTAATATTATTCTTAAACAAAAATCGTGTAATAATGATGATGACGATTTCTCATATGTTAATGACTTTAATTCTTTTGATGATGATTCTTATGATAACGACGACGATAATGATGCTTCTTCTGCCGCTGATGATGGTTCTGATGATTCTGATTTTGATTTTGATTCCGAAGATGAAGGTGATGATGATGACGAAGAAGAAGATGATGATGATGAGGAGGATGATTTTACAATAATGACGATGATCGCTACAATAAACAAAGCAAAGATTGACAATAGATGATTTATAAAGAAATAATTCTACATTCATTTGAAATATATTATAATTATATAAATATATCTCTTATAAACAAAACCAATCATCTGTTAAACAAAGTGATATATTTCTTCTTCTTCTTCTTCTTTTCTTTTATTTTTTTTTAATGCAGACTGAGGCAATGGTTATTTTTAAGGAGTGGCATTGCGTGAGTTCCTATTCATATTGCACGTCGCCTTTGTGGTTTTCTTTAATGTTACCGAAATTTTGTTTATAGTTAACTTGCTAACAAGTCGGTGATTTGTTCATTCATGTTTGTGATTTATAAACAGCTGCAGTTAATAATAAATTCATATAAAATATGCACTAACAGACAAAACATGCTTTTATACTCTCAAATCATAATCTTTTCAGAGGTTTTCACAAAGTGTGTATATATACATTTAACTATATACAAATGTATTTGCTCGACATTTTGTAAATTCGTACAAAAGAACTGCTTCTTTCTTTTTGTTGTTTCTGTTGTTGTTTTTGTTGTTGTTTAAGCCACATCGACATTATATGGTCATAAGGCAACATGGAGTAATGTTACGTAGGTTAAACTATATTCTATAGAAAATAATAAAATCAGGTAAAGTAGTAGCAGTAGTATTTACAACGAATATATGATTGCAGAAGAAATTTCACTAAAAAATAAAACGTTCAAAATTTTATATATAACCTGAAATATATATTTTAATTACAAAACCAACAATGAAATTGAAATTTTTAACAATTCCTTATTCAGAAATTATTAAATGCAAATTTTCAGTTTAGAGATACAGTTAATATTCAGCATGTTGTACATAATACAACAAAATACTTATATATCATTTAAAAGGAACACACAGGAAACAACACCCTTACGTGACTTTTGGGAGCAATCGATAATGATTATGGGTAAAGTACAGAGCATTGTTTTGCTGACTTTGAGCAAGCTGTTACTGAAATAAGACCACGTGGTATAACGTTTCATTCCACAATGGTTAAAAAAAATCAGAAATAGAAAGAATCAATCTAGTAATGTGTCTTTAAACAATTCCGGGAAAATCATGATTTTTTTTCTAAATATCAATCTATTTAAGTTCATGAACGCATTGTCATAGAAAACGCATTTTAATAATAAAGATAAGTGTGCGGATTTATGTTTTAAAGGTAAGATGAAAAATACTGAAATAAAATACGGATCCCAAGGCAATCGGGCCTCGTGAATACCAATGGACCCATGCCGTTCATAGCACCATGCACAATTCTTCAAGCTCTAAAAGCTGTAAGAAAACTATGGTCATGAAAGTCAAACGTTAACAGACCTCATCAGAAAAAAATGGAACATTTTTCTTGTCACAATTTAAAAAAAAATGAATAAAAGTAGTCCGTAAAGATATACACGTACAGGTTGTTTGTACACATGTCAGAATAGTATTTCATGAAAATACATATTAGCAACTTTAGGTTTTTATCACAAATAACTAGATGTCCACGCGAACATATTGCTAATAAATATTCTCACAAAACCATAGAACATTGTTACAAAATACCATAGCCGCTAAAGTATTTTAATAAAAATGACTTGCAATTTTTTGTGTGAAAATTTTCAAATCATTCCCTCATTCCGTTTTTACAGAATCATCATCAGCACAAAAAAATAACTATTTCAATTGAAAACTGAGCATATTTCTTATTTTTCAATTTTAAGAGATTCCCTAAATATATGTAAGAATTTCAAATCTTATGTTGTTAGGCGTTTTGACCTCAAAGGCACCTCCTTTAACAATAGCCACAACAGACAGAAACAGCGTTTTCATAAAATCAAATTTGTTTGAGTTTAAAAACTAGCTTTATAAAAAAAGTTCTGCTTTACTTTCGAAACATTTAAGTTAAATCAGTGTATTTCTATTTAAAATAAAAATTTGTTTTCATTTGCGGTTATTTAAAGTTTTTCAATATCAATCAATCTTAGGCCCATCCTATACCATGCATGAAGTCGTGTTAAATAAAATCTTTATTATAGAAAGTGTTTATATATAAAATGTCCCATTGAGCTAACAATCGACAGAGGTAAATTTTAACTTATTCGTGGGCGTTTGCTTGTCAACAGAGCGTAACCCTAGCTACAGCCACTTATGATAAATTATGCATATTAATAATGACTCGATTCATGAACGCTCTTGTCGATTTAAATGAGAAAACGCGCCCGGACTACTTTCATAACAGAGGTCGGAGCGTCCCCGGTTGAACCGCGTCACCTGGTAGATTGTATTTTGCAACAAAGTAGACATAGTTTATGGTTAAATGTAGGTCAAATTCAAATTATTGTAACGAAAAACCTTTAAACATTTTTTTTGTCGTTGAAAAATTTCAATAACTGGTATTTGAATGTAGTTTTTTTTGCAACTGGATAAAGCATATCGGCCTAGTTTCTAGTCATCGTGAATACCTGTCCTGCAGTTTATGACTAACATGTTACAACTAGCAGCCGTAATCTAATGTAAAGTTCTCACAGGAAAATGCCCATTTTCTATACGATATCAATAAATGATTGCATACCATATTAAGGATATAAATACAAGGAAATAGTTGTGGTTTTTCGCAAAATCGCAAGATAAAGGCGCGCATGGGACTTGAGTAAATAGCGCGAAAAACGGACTTTATATAAAGAAAACGTAAACAAAGACTGATATAAACTGCCCGATTGCATGTTTCGGTTATCATATTTTGTTTTTATATGATTTTTTTAAACAGTCAAAATATGAAAGAAACATTGCACACACTGAAGTAAATTTGAATTTTTTAATATGATTTTTTTGTACAATATTTGCAATTTGTATTCGCTCAATGTTCAATGAATTTATTCTATAAAAATACCTATTCATTGGTATGACACAATGCAATGCCATTTTTTATTTTAAAACGAAAATGATTTTTTCATATAAAGAAGATATGTTCTTGAAAACTTCAAAGGACTTACACAAATAAAAGCACATGAAAATGATAAAGAACACATAAATTACAAACATTAACTCTGGCGGGAATGCTATCTTAAATAACTTCCAAACATAACATTATAATCTCTGAAATCAGTATGGGCTATTACTAATGAGGAGTCCCCAAATATGTTTTGATAACAAACCGCAAATATTCAGTAATAATAACACAAAAGAGTTTAATATTTGGCGGGAAACACTATTTCAATAATAATAATAATAATAACAAAAAAAAAGAAAGAAATTTCTTACATTCTAAAGAGAAAAGTAATCAGATCTAAATAATAATTATAAGATTTTTTCGAACAATTACTGTCGATTATCTATTTCTGCAAAGTCACGAGCTAAGGTGTCAAATTATGGATCATAACAATCTATTTTCTACTCTCAATTTCAACTATTGTCTAATTAGCCGGATTGTTCTACCTTTATCACATGTTACGCTTCTTAAGTAACTTTCCTTCCGATTTCATTCATATATAATATTGTTTCTAATTGTTTTAGTTATAGTAAGAATTTTAAACGATCAATTATCAATAAACGTAGATTTATCAACTCGGCGGGTATGTAACCGTATACCTCGCCCTATAATACCATTGTCCTGCTCATTGTTCGTCTGCCCTAGATTTATATCAAGCCTTAACAGCGCGGGACACATTGATATGTTTATATATCTAATTAGCGTCATTGGTGATAGTTATAATAGGGACGCTAAAATGTAAGCCAATACTATCATAGTAAAATTTCATATCATATTTTACAAACGTTTATCGACCTAGCTACAGGCTGAGGTAAACTATTGGTCAAAGGGAAGTAATCGATTCATTCTGAGTATATTTCATGTAAAATATTCAATTGCATTCAGTTTTACATAATTATATACATTACGTAAATAATAATCAACTCCAATTACTTTATTATACATTTGACTCAAATAAGTGATGCTGAAGTTGAAGAAAAAAATCTAATTCGCTTCACAACTATACTATACAATGAATGGAGTGAAATAGTTGAACGTAGAAAATGTTTGGTCCCCAGGGAATCAGAATCAAGACATAGGTCGCCAGTAGTCAATAGTGACCCAGTTCCACAGAAACGACAGTTAATTAAAGTGCCAGGCACAAATGGAAGATTAGACAGGTTGATCTATGTTTTATTGTCCCATTAACTCTAGGACACATAGCCAGGATAGAAGGGAAATTAGCACAGTGCCTAAACTAAACAACCACAATTATTGGCCTTTTTAAAACAGCGATCTTCCTTTGATATCATATGACAATTGTAAAGGAAAAATCATGACAGCTGACAGAAAATAAAAATGTTCCTGACAATTTAAACATAGAAACGTAACTAGACTATACGTGTCACGATTTCACAGCTCTACAGCTCTATTTTAACTGTTTTTGATTATTTATGATGTCACGACACTTATGTTTGTTGTTTGTATAACACGAGAGGATATATTACATTACAACGAAGATCATTTTTTTCGCACATATATACATATGTTCAACGTAAATAGAACTAAAATAGAACTAAAAATAGGAAAGAATGTGCTAAATAAGTGCCGTCAACCGGTCGCCATATTTCTAATGTCGTTAATACTCATATTTCACGTATTCGCAAATTCGACCTGTCATTTATCAAAGAAGAAGGCAGACATCTTTACGTGTTGCTATATGTTATTTTTGTATGTAGGGGTCACTGACACTTGATCTTAATAAAAATGTCAGAAATTTATGAGTGAAATAAGTATGAAAATCATACTAAATTAATAATCTCATACTGTGGTAAGGTATGATAAATATTTTACTAATTTGCCTAATGAACGAAGTCTCCCCATAAACCTTTTCTATGAATTGTGTTTTTGTTGTGATATAAACCTAAATGATGTCACATCACAGTATGTCAATCAGAACCTCAGTTGTTAAATAATTATACCAAATATTCCGGCAGACGACTCTTCCTTTTTCGCCGGTCAATGAACTTATACTAGTTTCCTAA